TTGGTTTATTCACTGCCTGAAGATGCGCTCAACAGTACACTATTCAATAGGTTTTTTTTGTGAACGTCAAGAACTCGAACAAAGAATCCAATACTTGAAAAGAAGAAAACGAAAACATTAAACAGAACGACTAGAAGATAACACCAACATTCAACCATGGGAGAATATGGTACTATGGAAATTCAATACTATGGAAATTTCTCTATTTATTTTATTTATTTTAAATTTAAAAAATCAAATTCTATTGATCTATCTCCTATTTTGGCTACTCGAACTATGGTTTCACTTCGACGTGACTGCTTCACCTCCTGTGTGGCTTCCACACTGGACTCGATCGAGTACGGCTGCGCGGAAACGAGCGTTAGCCACAAAAATTGGCAGGGAAGCGTCGGAGAGCGCCCACTAATCCTTGTGGGTCCTGCGAGTTGCTGGCCTAGAGTCAGAACTTACGTCTCGTTGTTCTTTCGAAGTGAAGGTCAACTACTAGACCGTCAACTCACACTCCTCACCGCTCCCTGGGAGGGGATGAACGATGCAGTGGCGCGCCAGCCAGTTGAACAACCTCGCCAGTGCGTCGTAGATGAAACTGGAGCGCCCCAGCAAACATCTCTCCGCTGTGAACAACAGCTTTTCGCTCCACCTCCTTCTACCCCCAGGCTCGCTACACAATTCTTGTTTGGCTGCTGCATTGCAGTGGAAGACGTGTACGATTTCTCGCGAGCCAGGTTGGCGGCGGAAGGCGCAAAAGGTCGATTGTCGAACCCGATCTATGGGTTCGGAGACGCGAAATTGATTCTTGCAGGTTCAGAACTGTTATTTAATTGGCATACCACTTCCATACGCTATATGTATAGAATCCAGAACTTTCTAAATAATAGAAATGTAGGACTCAGTTGTAGTGAAGGGATTCGATCCACGGATTGCATGAATTCATAGTGGCGCCTAGCGCCACTGCTCTAATTCTGCTCTTGGAAATCGCTCTAAGCTATTCTCGTAAGAGTTTTACAACGCTCGTGCAACCTGATGATTCGTGAATTTTCTGCTAAAATTGTACCGTTCAAGTTATTATTTGTAATTGAATATTGCGATCTAAATCTAGTATATTATCATAAATTATTTTGATGAGTAGGTATTTTTAGTTTCAAGATATTATTACACGAGAAGTATTATTCATGATTATTTGGTTTGCTTATATTTATATTTTTTTATTTTTTATTTACCAATATTTGTGATATTTTACAACTTATTTATTTAGATTGTACTGTTTGCGTTATTATTTATTTATTTATTTATTTATTTGTTTATTTATTCGTATTTATTTATTTACTTAATCACTAGTTATATTATATTTGAGATGTAACTTTTACAGATTCATTGTGTGCTACTGCTGGCAATTGCTGGCTTGCGAGTTCAATCCTACTTCAGAATAGTGTAAACCCTTAGTCAGATTCTTTCTTTGGTACCATCCTTCTGCGAAGGCGAAGGCATCTCACCCAGGGCAAATGTGACAACGGTGAGTAACTTGTAAGGTCCTGAGCTTACAAGAATGAGAGGACGGGCTTTCCGCGTCACTTAAATCTTGTCACCTTGCCGAATATAGGTGATGTATATGTCGCCAATTTTATGCTAATTCATGTATGTCGAGCGATGGGACAGCGATAAGTGCGCTCTCTTTGTTAGCCGCCGTTTAGTCCATGGATCAAATTCCACGCTAAATTGGCTTCCGGTCATTGGATTCTTCTATTTAGGACAGTTGTTGGTTAACTCAGGGTACCAGCAGAAGTGCGTAAGGGTAAAAAGAGACAAAGAACTGCTTTCGCGTCATCGCCCGCCCCGCCTATCTTTACTACCCACCCTCACTATTCCTCCCACTATTCCAATGCATTGTCAAATATGCGCTAAAATAGCGCTGCTGTGTTGGACGGAATTAAATCTCAAAAATGGGTTGATAAACGCTGAGCATTCTCACCCTTCGCATAAGAAAGGAAAGGGGAACAGCCAAGATCCATTCACTGTAGATTTTCTCCCCAATGTTGGAGTTCACTTTCAACAGTGGACTAGATTGCAATAATTTTTAATCAGAGCCGACTCAAAGTGTTTTTTCTCTGAATGTGAGTTTTTTTTGATAAATACAAGGAAAGATATCCTATTTCAGTTCCCCGACAAGATTGGACCACACAAGGTGAAAACCGTAAGGGACCTTACAATCGGATACGACAACTCGCAACCGGGAAATAAGCCCGTAAGTTGTTCAGAATCTCTCTATTGAACCTTGGAGCACATCCTGGGACTGGCGGGGGGTGGGTGTTGCGGCCGCCCGTGAAGCTAAAGTATGTGCGATATTGGTTGGACTAGTTATGAAGAGAACAAAAAACTGCTCAAAACCTTAAAAACCACATTTGGGCAGCATCAGTGTAGTCTTCTGCGATCTTCTCGTGGTACGATCCCCGCTTCATCACGCTAAAAAGAAGAAGCGGAGCAATGACGAGAACGTGGTGGTTGCATCGATTCCCGCCCATATGATCACAGCAATCGCCACCTTTTGAAATTCTCAGCAGTTTCGTTAGCTCTTTTCGCTGCTGGCTCCCAACCTTGTCTATCTTTATTTTCTATCGCAGAGGTTCACACCTTCATAATACCGTAGTGTGTCTTTAAGTCCAGACATTAACAGGTACTACCACTATCGACGTCAGCCGAAATGATCACATTCAATTTGGAAAATGGAAGTGTCGCCACTCTGCGTGCATCCGGTACTGAACCGAAGATCAAGTACTACATCGAATTGAAGACAGCACCTGGCAAGAAGGAAAGGTACGGTAACCACTCAGACCTATGCTGAAGTCACGCTCAAGCTTCCTATTTCAGCGACCTTGCCGATGTGATGGCGGATCTGGAAGATCTTGAGAGCGCCGTTGTGGACACATTACTTCGACCGAAACAATTCGGTCTTATTGCTCGTAAATAAACGACTAGACCGTTTACCCGTAGTGAGTAGTGATATACTAATGTTTCTTGTGACCATGACTTGATTTTCATTTGAGGGTGGAGCCACCATTGACTTGATTCGCTTATTTAATAATTAATCTGTGATCTGTCATGTAATTCCTTAACGCTGCTAAACAAAAAGAAGCGTGTTTTATTCTCAGTGCCCCGCAAAATGTGACATGTGGCAAATGGACTCGGTTTCATGTTTCCACCTTCATACAATTACATTGCCACATCAAGGATTCATAGTAATCGTGGATGGGTTTCATTAAACTAATAAAGATTATTAAGATGTTTCTACATTGTTCAGTTTACAGGAGAAGCCAAAAGTCGCGGTCGACTAAACAACAATTATCTCTCGGCCACGGCCATGTGGTGGAGATGATCACAGAATCGAGAATTACGGTTTTTTCAATGTGCCAAATCTTAAATTGTACAATAGTCATTTTTTTTAGAGATCCAGTTCGATTCAAAATTGCGACAGAAAGAGTTTCCGCCTGATTTTAGTGTTACTTGATAATTTACATGATATGTGATGACAGCTGAAATCCGCGGTCAATTATAACTAGACCTTTTTACAAATCTTTAAGCACAGCAATGGTACCTTGGAACACAACTGAGCATTGCGCGGCCTTAGCACGCTACTATTGGGAAGACTAGAGACGAACAAGTTCAAATGCCTCCACAGATCTTCTCATAGATCGGAGGCAAGGCGCACCCTGGTGATGTTTACAGACATCAACCAAAGTAAATAAGCAAACAAGTAAACCACTGTTCGATTACCATAAAATGCAAACCTGTCTAAACTAATCAGGACCAAAACCACCCTTTGAACTCTCACGCCTCCAAATTTCCCTTTCAGAACATTGCAGACGTGCATCCCTGCTCTGAAAAGTATTCATATCGCATCAGTAATAGGTACCAGCCGATTTCACGCGGGGGGGAGTACATAAACGTCAGTTACAAAAAAACTAATTTTCTAGCGAAACCATTGGATTGCATGCGCCTTAGAATCAAATAGCGAGGAAGCAAATAATCTTCGATAAATTACTTTATTACATATCGTATATTACGATACACACTTGCAGACCCATAAATAACCACAGACGTTATTCATACTAACGAAAGGCCAACGATTGGTTTTAGGATACGCTTTCTATGACATCACAGATCACATCGATATTGCGTGAGAAGCTCGAGAACATTATTTACAAGAAATAGAAACGTGTCAAATAATCACATGAATGCTCGTAGCGCCAGATCAAGGATATGAGTGTGATTACTGCATAGTCAAAATATAAAACGTTGATTCTAAGAACCAATTAGAACATCTAACATACAATAAAGTTCGCAGTAAAACAAACCATAAATATGTAAAATCAACAAAAATAGCAAAACATGCATCTTATTGACTGGCAATCTTCTGGAAGATTGCCGACAAAGCCGAATACGTACCCGTGGTGAAACCCAGAAAGGCAAAACTGAGAAGAAATATGTTCTTGGCCCAGATTCTGGCCGAGAGCTCTTGCTTAGCATAGCATGTCTAAATTGTCAAAATAAGGGAAATAGAAGTAGTAAAGATAAAAATCGAACTAAAGAGTTACCAGTAGCTCAATAATGGGAGGGAACAGCAGGGCCATCGATGCACCAGAAAACGCTCCGATCAACGAGATGAAAAGCGCTAGATGTGGTATGAGTTCAGCAACAGCACCTGAACAACAAAAATAGAGGACCAGATAGGTACCTAAGAATTCCGAAAAAAAAAAGACTCACATGTGAGAAGAACACCCGAATATCGAACGGTGTAAATATAGAAGGTTTGGTTAGCGACTGGAATTTTCCGTGTGATCCATTTTTCAACGCGCTCCATTGGAACATAGAATTGCAGCGGGTACGAAATCATGATGCATGCAACGAACATCAACTTGATGGTTTGATAGAACCTAAAAAATGCAGATGCACCACAAATAATAGACTTGGTAAGGTAGCGAGGCAAAAAAAAGCTCACGGTGTCATCATGGGAGATTCAGCGTAGCTGTATCCTTCACCTCATCACCTAATGAGAGGTACCTAAAATAGAAATTGTATCGAATTGTCAAAATAGAACGGGAAAGAGCTGTCGGTACCCCCACTCCACTCCTTTTTATAAAAACTAATCTTTGAAAACAAAGCAAAATCTAAAACTCGTTCTACAATGCTTTAAATGAAAAAAGTGGCCCTACATTCGCTTAGCAATAAATAACGCCATTGCTATGAATAAAAAAAGGATAGAAAAGAAATTACCCATAAAATCCTGTGACTGAGAAAATAGCCAAGACAACCAGACAGCTTGAATTCAGAACGCCATTCCAAGCGATAAACGATTGCGGATTCCGCATACGATTTTCGATGGGCATTATCTGCATAATATATTTTGCACTTTTCTATGACCACAATGGTCACAAAGTTGCAAAAATGAAAGGAAAGGTGTACCACAGCAACTCCTTCGAACGCAAACATCACAGTACCGAAGAAAAGAGGTAGATCAGCTGCTTTTCCAAACCAAGGCAATGAGTTAACGGGTCGGAGGTCTATAACAGTTCGTCTATATGTACAGTATAGTTGAGTCAGCCTAGCTCCGATCAAAACAGGTTACCAGAGATAAAGAAGAAAAGAACAATTCCTACGGCGACTATGTACACAAAGTTAGCAGCCATAGCAAGTGGAGCCAGCACAGAGAGTCTAAAATTCTAGCTGTAAATAAGGGAAGAAAAAGTATTGCAAAAACCAAGCTCAAAATATTCAAAACAGGTCCAGCTCACGCTGTGTGACGCCTTCAGCCCAACTAATTGGGAAATCAAATCAAAATTACCTTCTTATAGAACAAATAGATAACATCGGGATCAAAAGCAGGAGCATCCAGACGGCTTTTGAGAGCTTGATTGATGTATTGGCATTGAAAAACTGGAAGAAAGAATTTTACCGGATAGATTATGAAACAAAGAATACTGCAAATCATCCAGATCTCACATCTTCCAAATTATCGGCCATGAATACGAAATAAACACAGCAAAAGCCTAACTGGGAAACGAACATGTTCACATTGAGCAGCTGCCTGAAAAAAGAATAGTATCAAGTACTGAATGTTAAAACCTCTAGCAAATGACGTACTTGAAAAAATATCCCTTGTGTCGAATCCAGTTTGGACCCATCTCTACAGCACCTCGCAAGATATTAGCATAATCAATCAAATCGCGGCCATTTCTATAACATAAGGAACAATAGAAGCCATTCAGATGTCAGATGCTATTGTAAGGAAGACCACAAAAAGTGTACCTATTACAGACGAAATGAGCGGCGAACACACTTGCCGCATGCAGTAGAGACAAACGAGACAAATTAGTATCGTGAGGAAAAGACCCAGCTGAAATATTCTTCACTGCCGATTCGTTAAAGATGCTGACTAGTTTCCTGTACGCCCAGAAAAATTGAGAATTCAAAGACATAGAGGAAGAGGTTTTCCTTCATCTAGAACCACACCCGACCACTGTGGGAAATTTCCGAAGGAGGTTTAAATACACATGTAGAAATAGGGTGTTTCCTCCCACAAGTGCGAAATTCGATTACGCCCATTGTTGCAAAAGTCGACTAGAAAGAAACGGAACCAGGTTAACGTAACGTTCTATGCCAAAGATTATAAGACGCCGCGAAAAAAAGAAAGTTCTGTTGTAAACAGCAGAGTAGCCGTTTTCCAGAAAGGGAAACTTAAAAAAAGGAAAAATCAATTTCAAATTAAAAAGGATTGCTAGGAATGGTATTAGATCAGCAAACTCACAAAAAGTCCAGCATGTTTGAATGCCAACGGTAACGAGAGAAGGCCTGTCCC